GGTATGAGCCTTCACTCTTCCCACAGTGAATTGTTTTTAACAAAATCTGCCACTCTGAAAGCAGTAATAGATTTTTCTACATGTTATTGTTAGAAATATTTTCTTCATAATAGATTCAACTTTACAAAACACCAAGCTACAGATGAGTAAGATGCCCTACACTGTCTAATTAAGTTGTGAATCCCTAAGATACCTGGATAATTATATTCAAGTGTGGACTTTTTAAACCTACCTACCTTGGAGGTTTCAACCTCCATTAATAATTGACTGGATTCATTTGTTTACAAGATAACAGAGAACCCAGCTCAGACTAGCTACAACAATAAGAGGAGCTCATCAGCTTATTTAACCAAGAAGTTCCATGATAGGTTAAGACTTCAGGCATAGATTGATCTAGTGGTTTACCCATGTCACTAGGGTGCTTTTTGCTTTTCTCCATATTATCTTCCATTTAAAGGTTGGAATTCTTCATGACTTCAAAAGGCTGGTGGTAGAAACAGAAGCTCCATTTTTTTTCTGTTTCAGCAGATTGGAGAATGTATTCTTTTGTCAGCTTCCACAGAAAAGAGAAGATACTTTTTTTCCCCAGAATTCCTCCAAAAGGCCATTCACACTGGCTGGGAGAAGGATGTATTGACATAAGCCAGTCAAGGCTTATGTCAATAAGCATTGATTAATAATCCTTAATAATAATCCTACCCTTGGATTTTTGGGAGAGTTCAATTCCAGCCAGACCTTTTGACTTAGAAATTTGGGTTCCTGTTAAAAAGGAACAAGGTTGAGAACATATTCAGGGGAGGCAGCCAATAACTATTCTCTCAAAAATGTTTATAATTTAAGATATACTCCGTTTATGTTATTTCCTAAATTTCAATGCAGTATATATTTTTTTACCAGTTTTTGGTGAGTGTAACTTGAGTTAGAGGAATAATCATATTCCCACTTATTACAGGCTGGCTTAGAAATAAGAAGATGAGCTCTAACTCTTTCTATTGAAGGCATCCTTCAGAAAAAAATGAGATTAATTTTGACTTGTGGAAGAAGTGCCTTTATGGTTAACAAAATACTATAGAGACCTATTTTCATAGTTTGAAAGGAGTCATGCTGAGACATCTTGATTAGAAACTTAAAATAGTTCCAGTCTCACTACCAAGCCCTGTTCCCATCATGGAGCTACTAATTATTTAGGCATTGGTAAGTATCAATCTCATCTCCTTGTCTCTCAATAGCTAAATTTATGGCAGTGCTTGAATCATTTGATATACTATATAGGAGGGATGTTTCCAAGAAGAAATATAGATCAGGCAAAGAATGGGATAGGGGACAAATCAATTTGGATAAAATATGGAGCCTATTTAAACAATATGCTTCATGGACTTCCTTGGTTCCCTTTGGACAAATAAAGCAAATTTGAACATTTGGAAGGCTGAGGTTGACTGTCAGAGGAAAACACTGATATGTCAAGATAATTGTTCCCTTTATGTTACTTCTCCCCTAGTGACCTCAATGCGTACCAGGATCTGATGCGTTAGCCCATTTGTCTAGTAGCTTTTTAGATCTTCCATGTCAAATGTGTTTTTTTTTTTGGCAGGGTACCAGGGATTGGTCTCAGGGGCACTCGACCACAGAGCCACATCCTCAACCCTTATTTGTATTTTATTTAGAGACAGGGTCTCACTGAGTTGCTTACCACCTCACTTATGCTCTGATTGGCTTTGAACTTGATTTTCCCCTGCCTCAGCCTCCTGAGCCACTGGGATTACCAGTGTGTGCCACTGTGCCAGGCCCCAGTGTTCAATGTTTGACTTAAATCCAGGGAAAGTCTAGTATCAGTCCCACTGAGCTTGAATATTGATATCATTTTTAAAAACTATTGATTGTTATTAATTTAGCAAACCAATGAGGTTAATCCCATCACCTGGTTCCAATGTATCCCCCTATAGCTTCATTTGCTTTTTCTCATATGAAAGTAAAAAAAAAAGATTTAAAAAAAAACAGGCCAATAATTAAAACAAGTCACTCTTTAGATTGTGTGAACTTTAAGCATTTTGCTACCATGGCACTCCTTGCCTGCAGTTCTTAAAACTCTCCAATTTCTTATTAATTCAGAATATGTAGAGTTTGTTGAAATCTGCTTCTGTTTTTTTTTCTTTTCTACATTTTCTGTTTTTTTTTCATATATTATAATTAAATGTGCCAGTATAATAAAGAAAATAAAGGAATTTAAAGAATTGCATTTCAATTTTAAAAAGGCACAACCTTAAACACTCTCATCCTACTTTATATTAAATCTTATTTTGAAAATATTTTAGGATCCTACAGGTAGAATGCAGACTGCACACCCAGGAAGGTGAAGGTTGCCTTGTTACAAATGCTCAGGGGAAGGTTTTTTTACTCCTTATCTTTGCCCAGAGCTCTTTTCTTTTGGTTTCTGTCAATACTCTAGATTTATTTCTCCTTGCTTCTTGCACAGAGAGTCTCAACTTTGTGTGGGGATGTCCAATGAGCACCCTCTGCACCCCTACAGCTCAGGTGCCCACTGTGAGCAGCTGTGTGCCCAAGTTCAAGGTCTCTCATCTCAGAAGAATGTTTCCCAGGAACTTTGCTTTTCTGTTCTTGGCCTCTGGGGAATCCTTCTTTCCCTCCCAGTCCAGTGAAGCTCTTAAACAGACAATTTTATGTTTCTAATCCAGCTTTTTTACTTGTTTTGTTCAGCAGTTTTGTTTATCTAGTGTCTGCCCTGCTGACAGGAAAGCCCTGAATTGCTTTCTAAAATGGTCTTTTCAAAGGTTTGTTTACAAATAATCTGACTCTTGGATTCCATAAGGTTATATATCCAACAATAGTTTCTAAATCTGTCTTAAGTCTTTTTATTAAAAAAACAACAACACAACAAAAACCAAGCAAGAGCTTTGGGATGTGGCTCAGTGGTAGAGATCTTGCTTGGCATGTGTGAGGCCCTGGATTTGATACTCAGCACCGGGGAAAACAAACAAACAAACAAACAAACAACAACAACAAAAAACCTACCCCAGGTAACCCTCATAATCACCCCCAAAGCAGCTTCATTGAAGTTCATTCTAGTTCAATAATCCATTCTTCAAGTTAAAGAAGTCACCAGAGTTGGGGCTTTATTAATCTAGTTTCCATTACCCCACACGACAGAATATTCATCAGATGCTGAACACCTCATCTGGAGAAGGTACCACATACTTCTTTACTTCAGCCAAATTCCAGTACAAACATTTTATCAGGGATCCTTTCTAATCCCACTGCCATCTATCTGTGATAGCTTGTGCCCACGGAGCACGGATGGATGATTAAAGTTGGTGATGGAGGGCAAGAAGAAGATGTTAAAAATAAATCCATCAAAATGAACTTCTTAGGAAACATGTGTCCAAAATGACACAATTCCTAAAGGGTTTCTTTCTGCAGTTCTTATCATTTCAAAACACCTATTGAATACCGATTCTCTGCAATTTGGACCAGACCTAGAGAACAAAAGCAGTAAAACCCCTGCCCTGGGGGTCTTCTCTCTTCATTTAGAAGGCAGCTGTGCAATAATTACAAAAGGAGTACATTTAGATTAAAATTATTCTTTTTAACATGATCTGGGTGTGGCTTGTCTCTGACCTTGTCTTGAATGGGCTTTCCTTCCCAGCCAAGGTCATTCCCACCCAGAGTCTCTTCTGAACCTGCTACTACCTTGTGCTTTGGTTTTATATCATCTCTGGTTTTTGTTTGTTTGTTTGTTTTGTTTTGTTTTGCTTTGTTTTGTTTTTGTAGTAGGGATTGAACCCAGGGGCCCTTAACCACTGAGCCACATCCCCAGCCTATCTGTATTTTACTTTGAAACAGGGCCTCACTGAGTTGATGAGGCTGGCCTTGACATGCAGTCCTCCTCTCAGCCTCCCGAGGTGCTGGATGACAGGCGTGCTCCACCATGCCTGGGTCCACATCATCTCTAATGGATCTTTCTTATTCGCATCTCAGATTGAATGTCAGTTCCTCAGAGAAACCTTCCTCTGTACATCATCCAGTCACCCTGTAACAGTGGTCCACATTGTGCTTTGAATATAGCCCTTCCTGGTCTGCCACTGTGACTTATTTTTAAAATGGACCTGTTTCTTTCTCTTCCTTTCCTCTTCCCCCGTCTTGGGAAAACAGGATTACCTTTCTTCCCCATCCTAGGAAGAGTTACCTGTTTGCACACTCACCATGGGAATGAAGTAATTCAGACTTGGGATGGCACCAGAAGATCTCAGAAATGACTGTCTCCCAAATTAACAAGTGAATTACTACTTTGACGGAGAACACGGGGAGGGTAGGCTTTGATTCATCTATTAAAACCCCTCTGTTCCCCATGATAGGCAGAATCATAGCCTCTTGGACAAGATTCAGTACCCTGTGTTTCTCCTTTGCTAACAAAGCAGTAAAACTTCTTTTTCCTTTTTTATCAAAATGGTGTCCTTATTATTGGTTTGGCATCAGGGACAAGGACCAAGCTTTTGTTGTTGTTTTTGCATACTGGGGATTGAACTCATGGGCACTTGACCACTGAGCCACATCCCGAGCCGTATTTCATATTTTATTTAGAGACAGGTCTCACTGAGTTGCTTATGGCCTTGCTTTTGCTGAGGCTGGCTTGGAATTCACAATCTTCCTGTCTGAGCTGCTGGGATTACAGGCACGCACCACTGTGCCTGGCTAAGGACCAATCTTTTGATAAAAAACCTGTCTTAGGTCTTTTTTGTTATGAAGTTATTTTCTTTGTTTATATCAGCTCCACCTTTTACACACATACCTCTCCAGCACCTGGAAAAATGTCTGGTGCATGGTAGGCAGGCAACACATTTTTCAGGAATAAAGAAATGAATGATTATATAAAAGACAAATCTGTATACTATGAGAATTCTAAAAGGGTCACCTGCCTAAGTAGGGGGTTGGGTAAGTGCTGCACATGTCAAATGTGTATGAACTTTTTCTTCAAGTGGAATATAAATGCCTGAAAGAAAGGGAACTTACTTTACATTTTTTAAAAATAATTTTTTAGAGTTGTTGACAGATCTTTATTTTATTTATTTATATCTGGTGCTAAGAATCGAACCCAGTGCCTCACACATGCCAGGCAAGCATGCTACCACAGAGCCACAGCCTCAGCCCATTACTTTACATTTTTATGAATTCTCTTCCAACAGCACATAGCACTGTTTTGCTAAACTGAAGCTACTCAGCATTATAATCTGCAACAGGGGATCTGTAACTTTTGAGCACTTCTTACAGGTGAGCTTATCATCTTGTATATCTGTATCCTCCTTTTTTTTCAGTGAACCTCCCAGAATCATGTTCTGCTGTATATTTCCGCCTAAGACAGTGAATGAAGGATGGAGTGATTTCCAAGACTACCTTTCCCCAAGCCTCTTTGCCAAGAAGTTGATCAGCAAGCAGTTGGTACATAGTATCCTGCACCTAGGAGATGATCAATACAATTATGGAAAGAATGAATTTTTCAGCCTGGTGCAGCCTGGAGAATCAAGATGACATATTCACAATGAATGACTCCTTTTGCTACATTTTAGTAACAGGTGAGGAATCCTGGGCTTTTGTATGTTTCTGCCCCAAAGCTGTTGAGTTACTCTGAAAATCCTCCAGACCTTCTGCTTCTGAGTTCCCTCATCTGTGAAATTATGTGCTGGGGGATGATACACCAGGTCATGGGGATTCTGATTTTTTTAATCCAATATTATTGGCACCTGTAAACCTAAGGCAAATGCAACCACTCTGACCCTCAGTTTTATCATTTCTAAAGGGAAAAAATAATAATAGTCCCCCACCTCCTAAGATGGCTGCTGAGAATAGGGCACAAAATGTAGGCAGGTGCCCCAAAGCTCAACAATCAATATAAATAATATTTTAATACCATATTTTTAAAAAGTCAAAATTAATGCAAATAAATTCACAATGAAAAAACTATCCACATTTTTCAATAAAGACAAGATCAGTAACAGTGCTGTGCCAAACCATTCTGCAGCCTGAGGCAAAAAGGGAAAAGGATTAAATGAAATCATGCTTGTAAGGTACTTGGCATCAAGCCTTGCACATTGTAAGTTTACAGTAAACATAAATCAGTATTATTGAATAATCTCCAAGATTTCTTCTTGTTTGAAAATTGCTTAGCTACCACTTTTCCCCACAATTTAGTCTTTTAAAAAATGGCAACTACTGATTTAATTTTAGGCAAAAATTCTGCAGAGTTGGCTCCATGTCTACCATTCTTCTGTAAAAATGTAGAATTAGTTCCAGGGGAAAATAAAATAAGTTAGACTCTAAACTTCTTTTATATGTGCTTAGGATGCAATTAAATACATTGAAGTTTTAACAGAATTTCAGAACAAAGTAGGTCTCAATACTGCCAAAAGCACAGTGAAATCAAGCTCAAATAGCCACCAGTTGCTCATGAGCACTCAAGATACCATCCACCTGCTTAGCAAATGCTTGCTGAAGTCCTGTTATGTTCCTCTGCTCTGAGCTAAATACTGGACCTGCAGAGATTAAAGAGATGCAGATTCTGCCCTCAGAATATCTAATGTGGAGATAAAATTTGCCTGAAAACATGAGGGGTCCATATAACATGTCAAAGCTATTTCCCAGGGAGAAAAATATGCAACTCATAGAACTTATAATGGGAAATTATTTCCATAAGAATTATTGCACAAGAGGATACATATTTTGAGACACATCATCCAACACTTTTTATCCATTAACACTTACCCAAAACACATTATAAAACACTTAAGAGGCATTATGTAAATACTGAAGAAATAATAGAAGGCCAAGTACCATCATTTGTACCTTTAAATGCTGACCCTTGGCTTGGTGGAGGAATAATGGGGACACAATAAGATGTTGTGCAAAATGCCATGGCCATAAACAGGGGAGTGATAATGAGGAAGAGGTGGGGGAGAGTCAAGATGGTCAGATCCACCTGAGTCTAAATCTGCATCACCTCCACATATAGACTGAGGAGGAGAGATGCAGACAGGGGGCTTGTAGGAGCAATTTAGTAAGCATCCAAGAGAAGTTCTCACTTCCTTTATAGTCTTCTTTAAAACAATACAGAAGGAATAAGCCCATCTGGAAAGTCTACTACTACTGTAAGATTCCAACTGTAAGTCATTCTTGAAAAGTTAACACTAAGAAGACTGAGGAACATACTCGAGTTTTACATCCTAATCTTGCAAGGTTGAGAAATGTATCTAAAAGGGACTGGGGTTCTGTCTCAGTGGTAGGATACTTTCCTAGTATGTGTAAGGCACTGGATTTGACCCTCAGCACCACATATAAATAAAGAAATAAAATAAAGAGGTATTGTGTCCATCTACAACTAAAATCCAGTTTTATCCATAAAGATTTAAAAGAAATGGGTTCTAAAATATTTTCAGCTAATCTACATCTTTTTTTTTTCTTTTGGTACCAGAAATTGAACTCAGGGATCCTTAACCACTGAGCCACATCCCCAGCCTTTTTTTTTTATTTTGAGACAGGGTCTTGTTAATTTGCTTAGGGTCCTGCTAAATTGCTGAGCCTGGAAAAATTGTGCTCTATATGTGTATTATGAATTTAAATGCATTCTGCTGTCACGTGTATCAAATTTGAATAAATAAATTAATTTAAAGAATGAAATTATTTTCAAATCATATATAAAAATAAACTCTGCAAGGCTGGGGTTGTGGCTCAGTGGTACAGTGCTCATCTCACACATGGAAGGCACTGGTTTTGATCCTCAGCACCACATAAAAATAAAATAAAAGGTATTGTGTCCATCTACAGCATACACACACACACACACACACACACACACACACATATAGCAGAGTTTATATATAACTACATATATATAACTACAACTTTTAATAAAAAAAATAAGATAGAAAAAAAAATAAATTGCTGAAGCTGGCTTTGAATTCATGATCCTCCTGCCTCAGCCTCTGGAGCCACTGAGATTATAGTTGTGCACCAACATTCCCAGCCACAGCCTACATCTCTTGAACACTAGTCATTTTAACAATGAAAACCCACTTCTAATATGTATTATGATAATTAACAGAACCTTTGATACTGGTCAAGGATGACAGCAACAAGATCAATGGTTGCTAGTGGTTGCAGGGAGGGATGAGGGGCCAGAGCACAGAAGATTTTTAGGGCAGTGAAACTCTTCTGTATGAAACGATCATGTTGGAATCATGTCATTACAAACCTGTCCAAACCTATAGAAGATAAAAAATCAAGAGTATCCCCTAATGTCAACTACGGACTCTGGGTGATAATGGCATGTCACTGTAGGCTCATCACTTGCAAATAATGGACCCCTCTGGTGGGGATTCGATAATGAGGGAGGCTGTTCATATGAAGAAAAGGGATGTTTGGGAAACCTCTGTACCTTCTGCTCCACAAATCAAAAACTGCTCTAAAGGAGAAAAAATTTGTTTTTGCTTTTTCAGTACCAGGAATTGGACCCAGGGGAACTTGACCACTGAGCCACATCCCCAGTCCTTTTTTATTTTATTTTTTTGTATTTTTATTAGAGAGAGGGTCTCACTGATTTGCTCACAGCCTTGCTAAACTGCTGAGGCTGGCTTTGAACTCTAGATCCTCCTTTCTGAGCCTCCCAAGCTTCTGGGATTATAGGCCTGTGCCACAGCACCTCGCAAGAGGAAAATATTTTTAATAAAAGGAATAAAACAATGTATTGGAAGCATTCCAAGGCTGGTATAGGAGGATTGGGGTGAGACTTCTCTCTTTCTGATACATTTGGAATGCTGAGCCTTACCTGATAGCTGTTCCCACTGTACCAGGAGAGATGTCTTCTTGGTGGGTCAAATTCTCCATTTTATCACATTGTCACAGAAGTTAATGTGACTGGAAATACACAGAGAGATCCCTATGGAGCTTATTGTTCACTGCCACCCCAGATTTCCAGAGCTGGATTTGTTACCCTAATTTTTGTGCTATAGAATCTTCTGTGAGCAACACCTGTGTCTTGATGATTGTAACTGATTTTAAATTATTCCATTGGTGGGGATGGTGGTCTAAATAAGTGATTGATAATTTTTAAGCTACACCCTAGTGCCCAACAGTCTGATTGGGAATATGTTCCAGAGATGGACATTTGCACCTGTTTGTTTGAAAGACCACAATGCTGATGAATTCAACCACTGTACCCCAGCTCTATTCATGCTTGTCCAGTACCCAAGGTCATGTTAATTAGTATAATAAATATTAGAAGTGGGCTTTCAACTGTAAAGTGGCAGGTTTTCAGGATATGTAGATTGGTTAAAACATATTAGAGACATTTCTCAATCTTGCATGAACAGGACACAAAACTTGAATGTGCTTTTTAATCTCTGATGTTCAAAATGGTGCTTGAGTCTTTTTTCTAAACTGGTTCTAACCTACCTCTGTTCACAAACACATGATTCTGGTTGCCTGATCCTGGTTCTGAGGTTCACTGAATTGTGCCTTGAGAATGTGGGCATGGGCTGGAATTGTGGCTCAGTGGAGAGCACTTGCCTAGTATGTGGGAGGCCCTGGGTTCTATCCTTAGCACTACATTAGAAAAAAAAAATAATAATAAAATATAGGCGTGCCATCCATCTACAACTAAAAATAAATAAGTAAGTAAATAAATAAAAAAGAATATGGGTGTGAACTGGTTGCAGTGGTGCACGTCTGTAATACCAGCAGCTTGGAAGGCTGAGGCAGGAGGATCGCAAGTTCAAAGCCAGCCTGAGCAACAGGAAGTGCTAAGCAACTCAGCGAGACCCTGTCTCTAAATAAAATACAAAATTGGGCTGGGGATGTGGCTCAGTGTTTAAAAGAATGTGGGTGTGTCCATCTCAAGGGAAAGTTTTCTGCAAGAATGGTCAGAGCACACAAAAGATCAGAGAGCTAAGGTGAGCTGAGGTTGAGCTCGGAGGTCATGTGACGTTTTTTGTACCTGTTGCTAATAAATGCTTACTCAATAAATGTTTGTTTGTGTGATAGAATTTGATCCTGGACTTGCTTTTGTTGCCGGATTTTATTGCAACACGAGAAGAAAGAGATAGTTTACACGGATTTACCTCCAAGTTTTATTCAACAATAAATGAACAACTATTATGTTCCATCTTGGAACATACAGTCTGGAAAAAAGAAAACAGAAAAAAACCTAGTAGTTGTACTCAAGCTTGATCCAGTTAGTTCACATTGTCCTGCTAGATCCTTCCAAGCAAGAGACATCCCATCAGAGAGACTATTCAGATACCAAAGGTCATCATAAATCCCTTAGTCCTCAGTTTTGTCAGTAGAAGAATCATGACTTATATATAAAAAATACAAAAAAAAAGTGCACTTGGGGTTTGAGAATTTGAGCTACTTTAAGGATTCTAGGCTTTTCCAAATCCTCCTTGGGAAAGTCTTGCTGTATATACTAGTGCTCTAATCACATGCCCTTCTTGGCTCCCAGGGAGAGCTGCTACCCAATGATATAACTGATGATTCAAGAACAGAAATATGTGTTCTGTGTAAACCAACAATGTGATCACAAAACAGAAGAGTGAGTTCACAAGGTAACCCCTCTCTCTGCAATTCACTAAAGCAAGTGTTGTGAAAAAGATAAATACATGGGACTTTAGAAGAGGGAACTGTTACTTAAGCTGAGAATGACAAAGAATAACTCCATGAAGAAGGTGACACTTGAGTTGATCCTTAAAGAATGGCTAGGCTGATTCTCAACTTCCATTCTCAGCAATATTAGATCTGGGTTATGAAATGCTTGCTCCATGTGCATGCTAACTCACAATAAGGGCAGAAGGGTAGGGAGGGTAGAAATACTTTGGGTTAGACAAAGAGGAATGAAGGGAAGAGAGGGGGGTGCTAACAGGAAAGACAAGGGGATGAACAGGACTTTCCTGTGTTTATATATAAATGTTCATATATGAATACAAGGCCACTGAAACTCCACATCATGTACAACCAGAAAAACAGGAAGTTATACTCCAAGTGTATAAAATATTTCAAAATACACTCTACTCTCAGGTATAACTAAAAAGAACAAATTTAAAAATGTGATTAGGGCTGGGATGCATGTCCATCCTTGTTTCCTCTTGTTAAATAAAGGTAGAATACTGGGTGCCAAAGATCATACCTATAGTTACAGTCACTTGGGAGGCCAAGGAGAGAGTATTGCAACATTGAGGCCAGCCTCAGCAACTTAGGTGGATGCTGTTGCAAAAGAAAAAATAAAAATGGCTGAGAACTTGGCTCAGTACTAGATAGCCCTGGGTTCAATCCCTAGGGCTATAAAAGAAAGAAAAAAAAAGAAAAAGATAGGAAGTCATTTATGTGAATTTTTAAAAATAGACTTTATTGATTTAAATGTGGTGCTGAGAATTGAACCCAGTACCTCTCACATGCTAGGCAAGCACTCTACCACTGAGCCACGACCCCAGTCCCAATGTGAATTTCAAAAAAGGACATTCAAGACAGTTATATATAAAGCACAGTGCTCATTTCTCTTTGGAGAGGTAAAAAAAAAAAAACAACAACAATATGGTGATATGTGACGTGGATAGGATTATAATATACTTGTTAAGACTATTGGGCCTAAGATAAGGCCAGCAGAAATGGAATTAGGAGGTGTTGAAAAAGAAAAAAAAGACAAGGAATTAAAAATCATGAGAAAGGTTTTTAGTTGCATGTTAGCGTGGTGGGATATTTTTGAGAAAATGGGATTTTCTAATAAGGGGTATAAAATTAATAAAGCCTTGATAAGTGGCAGAGACATTACACACGTTTTTCTCTGAGCAT